TTTGTAGTTATATAATGCTAGCGTTCTTTCCACCCATTGGAAAGAATGTTTGTGTAGTCTCCCCTTTCTTGTGTGAGTGTTGCTGTGGTGTGGTGGCCAGATGTAATGATCTCGTGATGGGGAGTACGATGAATGCCTACCGTATACTGACTACCCATCACATGATGGTGCACCCACACTTGCTTTCAACTCCGAATTTCTTCTTCTTTTTCTTATCGAGTTTCTTCTTCTTTTTCTTATCGCCAATGGCTCGATCGCCAGACTCCCATTTCTGGTAACCATTGGTATTAGTGAACTTGGCATTGGACATTGGAATTTCACCTTCCATATCCTCTTGGTCGACATGTGCCGGTGCTTCATTAAAGAGTCCCAAGGCTTCCTTTTCTTCCTTCATGGCATCCTTTCTCCACTGTTGATGATCCAAGTAAACCGCATCCACTGGATTGATATCCTTTGTTCCCTTGAAAACGTATTCGGATGTTTGCGACTTGCGTCGCGCCAAATCTTGAGCAGCCTTCTCGTACTCCAGCTGCGATTGCCGACTAGTCTGTTCGAAGGCAGCGTAGTTCTGACTCCCACGTTTGGCAAGACCTTGATTTCGAAGTCTGGCAAGTTCTTCGGCCTCCTTGTTCTTCAAAGATGAATGCTTGAGTCGGGAGGGAGAAGCATCATCGCAAGCCCTCCATGCTTGACCAGTTCCTGTTCCTGCTGCTGCTGGATTCAAGTCCAAGTTGCTCCCAGAGGGTCGGTTGGGAGACTTTTTGACAAACATGCCAAATCCAACCAGACCAGCACTGGTGGCTCCTCGTGAAGGCGTATTGGGCGTTGTCTTCTCCTTCACTTGAGCTAATTGGATGGTATTGTTTTCATTGCTGCTGGCCTTCATTCGAACCTTCCCATCCGAAGTCTTGTGCTGCAAACCGCGTTCTCGGAGGGCCTGGAGTTCTGCCTGCTTGGCCGCACGGAGTTGTTCAAACTTGATCTCCGAGGACTTGACATCCATTCTAGCTGGTTCGCTGGTACTTTGCTTCTGGAATAGGGCATCGTATCGACGTTGCCGTTCTTCCTCGCCCATTCCGGGATCTGCGTTCTTTGTCTTTGACGTATCTGCTTGCCAAATAGTATCAATTTCATCATCTTGGATAGATTTCTTGGATTTGGGCCGAATTTTTTGAAAGATCTTATCGTATCGGCTCTGACGGCTGGATTGATTCTTGGCTTGGAGCAGATGTGAAGAAGGCTCGCTTGGTGCATTCTCATTGCTGGGATTGACAGCGTCAGCAGTGTAGCCTTCGTCGAACGGAGTATCTTCTTTCTCCTCCTCCTCCTTCTTGTTCACACCTTCCCCAGCAGCAG